CAGAGAAGGACAAATATCATATGTTTGCACGTATAGGAGGATTAGGAGGAACTTGACGGAGGAACAAGGGGGAGAAGAAGGGCGGAAATGGTGGGGGAAAGGGAGAGAGGCAAACCATGAGAGACTCTTGAATGCTGACAAAAACTGAGGACTGATGGATGTGGGGGGGCGGGGGGGATGGGCATGGAGGAGGGCACTTTGGGGATGAGCACTGAGTGTTATGTAGAAACTAATTTGACAACAAACTATTTAAAAAAAAAAAAAAAAAAAAAGGATTCCATCTTTTAGCTTAAGATTTCCAAATATGCCCTCCCTACTTTGGGGATGAGCACTGAGTGTTATGTAGAAACTAATTTGACAATAAACTATTTGTAAAAAAAAAAAAAAAAAAAAACAAAAAAAACAAATATGCCCTCCCTAGAGGTAACATCTGAGGTGTTGTCTCTCATCTTTATACTGAAAAGCTATGCCCAATTTCCCCAAAGAAGCAATTTTTGACAAGGAAGTACAAGAGGAAATCTGTAAGGTGAGGAGAGCCCCTTGGGAGAAGAAAGAGAAAAACAAAATGGAGATTGAGGGGACCAAAAATTATGTATCTGATTTACTCAAGACAAACATAAACACACATAGAGCAGTTTTGAGGCTTTGCAACCATAGGGCTGCAGGTTCTCTGAAAGAAAAAAAGCTCCCTGGTGATTTGATTTGTCACTTACTTTTCCTGGCTGATCACCGTCTGCTGTGCCTCCTGCATGGCTGCTTCTAACTTTGTAATTCTATGCTTATAAAAGGCGATGAGGAGATCTGTTTGTTTCTTCTGGAAACTCCACACCTACTAGGCAAAAATAGGTCTTTGAGACACACACACACACACACACACACACACCCATAACTCCTTTCCCCTTACTTCTGGTAACAAAGGGAAATCTACCAATTCATCCTTTAATGATCGTTTTCTTCTGGAGCATCTGGTCTAACTCATGTCTCCTCAAAACTAGAGGATTCGGCACTAGGGAAAGCCAAAGCTTCTCATTTCCAGAATAATGGCTTCTTAATATCTTAAAAAAATTTTTTTTTAATGTTTATTTATTTTTGAGACAGACTGGCATTAGCAGGGGAGGGGCATAGAGACAGAGAGGGAGACACAGAATCTGAAGCAGGCTCCAGGCTCTGAGCTGTCAGCACAGAGCCTGATGTAGGGCTAGAACCAAAGAACCATGAGATCATAACCTGAGCCCAAGTTGGACACTTAATTGACTGAACCACCCAGATGCCCCACTTCTCAATATCTTCATGAGAATATTCAGGCACAGTAGAACGGCCCTTTAAAATTACAATCTTTCATTTTGCACAAGAAGAGTGATACTCAAAAAGCTTTTTTAAGCTTAGAATTGGTTCTAATCTAACCTGTCTACTATTAGTTTGGACTCAGCTTCCACATTCCTAGCTATTACAGAGCACTGGTAACCAATTTACTTTCCCTGAGACACACACGTGGCACTTGCAGCCTGTTTATGCTGCTATAGTAAAGGAGAAAGAAACACAGGAGGAGATTACCTATTCCTGAATTTTATTTCTGGGCATGGGCAAATAATTTTATCTTTTGCTTTGCTTTACCATTTGATATACTGATGTGCCTATCAGGGGATTACTGAATCAGAGCAAAAGTTAATATTTAGAAAGTGTTTTAGCTTTGTCAGGCTCTACTTTTGAACACACAGCAGTGTTTATGTCTCATCTGCTTCCTCCCTACTCAGACTATAAACCTTTGTCTAAGGTCCTTCCTTAGATCTTGGTACTTTTGTCAGTGAAAACTTTTTGTTTTCACCTAATTTGTGAGTTGCTTTTACCACCTTACTACAGAATTGTACTTACAAGTTTATAGGGGCGCCCGGGTGACTCAGTCAGTTGGGCATCCGACTCTTGACTTCGGCTCAGGTTGTGATCTCACAGTTCTGGAGTTTGAACCCCATATTGGGGCTCTGTCAGTGCAGAGCCTGCTTGGGATTCTCTCTTTCTCCCTGTCTCTCTGTTCTTCCTCTGCTTGTATTCACTCTCTCTCTCAAAATAAATAAATAAACTTTTAAGAAAAGTTTATATAGCCTCTACCCTCTTTCCTTTCTACTCACATGCAAACTAAACTAATTCTAATTAAGTAAGATTTCATTATAGTTTTCTTTAGTTTTTTTTTTAACATTAAAAAATTTTTTTATTTATTTTTGAGAGACAGAGAGAGATGGAGCACAAGCAGGGGAGGGATAGAGAGAGGGAGACACAGACCAAAGCAGGCTCCAGGCTCTGAGTTGTCAGCATAGAACCTGATGTGGGGCTCAAACTCACGAACTGCAAGATCATGACGTGAGCCAAAGTCAGACGCTTAACCAGGTGAATCACCAGGCACCACAGTTTTTTTTTTTAAGTGTTTGTTTTCATAAAAATAAAATGTGTTAACTTTTGAAAATTTGAGGAGTGAAGATATAGGAAAAGTTGCTCAGAATCCCAGGAGTTACCTAAAATAGCGAGGGGTTGGGGAGCAATAGATGTTACAGATAAATGTAATGTTTAGCTAAGAGACAGTATCCCAAACATCTTAATCCATTCTTGGGCCAAGAAAACCTAAATCCTCCCATAGACCAGTTATTCTTCCCTTAGAGATCATCAAAGGTCCCATTTGTCTCATAAAAAGTTAATCATTTTAACTTACCAAGCTCAGTCCTCAAAAAGGATAAGAAAAAGATAAGGGCAATTGGGAATCTCCTCTCGAACTAGAACACATGACAGATGGCTGTTTTAAAGGAAAGAAGAGAAAAAGAATTCTCCTTTTAAGTCCCTCACTTTGCCGTCTAAATAAACTGATTTTTTTGTTTGTTTGTTTGTTTGTTTGTTTTATTTCTAGGAGAGAGAGAGAGAGAGAGAGACAGCATGAGCAGGGGAGGGTCAGAGAGAGAGGGAGTCACAGACTGAAACAGGCTCCAGGCTCTGAGCTGGAGGTCAGCACAGAGCCCGACGCAGGGCTCGAACCCACGAACCGCGAGATCATGACCTAAGCGAAAGTCGGATGCTTAACCGACTAAGCCACCCAGGCGCCCCTAAATAAACTGATTTAAACTACTCCCCTCCTGATAAGCACCCATGAGTACACATTACTGTGTTGTCTTTCTAGATTCTTGAGGAAGAAGAATTTATCCAACCCTAATTTGTACTTTAATTCAAATCAATAGCAAATCTGTCTAATTTTCCAGTTTTCCCCATACTTCCAACTTCACCACCATGTGTTTTTTTCTGAGCTAAAAGAACTTTGATCTGTTTTTTCTTTATTTATTTTCTTTATTTTATTTTTTATTTTTTTTACAAATAGTTTATTATCAAGTTGGTTCTTTATTTATTTTAAAAAAATGTTTTTTGAGAGAGAGAGAGAAAGAGAGCATGCGCACACATGAGCAGGGGGAAAGGGGCAGAGAGAGGGAGAGAGGGAGAGAGGAAGAGAGAGAGAATCCTAAGCAGGATCCATACTCCGTCATACTCAGTGAAGTGAGGCTTTTATCCCTGACCTTTGGGATCATGGCCAAAGCCAAAATCAAGAGTTGGATGCTAAGCCGACTGACCTAGCCAAGCTTCTCTGTTTTTTCTTTTGATTGAGAACTTCTTTTGCCTGTTCCTCTCCCAGACTTGCCCACCTCCCCCACTCTGTACATAGGAATTAGATCCCCCTTCTGCAACTCCAGGAATCCAGAATAGACTTAGTAGGGCCTTTTGCCTAGACCTAAGCAAGCCTACTTACCCAAAAACTGAAACGCGAATCCTAGATTTGACCATTCCAAGAAGAGTAAAGACAAATCCAGAAAGCAACCACTAGCAAGAGGTGTTACAGGAGAGGAACACATGCTTTTGCCTGATGCTAGAGAACAAATCTTTAGCCTATTTTGAATATACCCATCAAAATTGATTCTAAAGCTAACTCAGGAATGTATTTCAGTATTTAAGAAATCTTGATTGTTAGCAAACTCACTACTCTATCTCATTCAAATTCCTCAGCCTCATTAAAAAAAAAAAAAGTTTGGCTTCTTTTTTTTTTCCTAAAGAAGGACAAATTTTACTTACTTATTTTCTAAATTGGGGTTATTTTGTTAATAACATAGAACAGATAGTAATAGAAGTAGTTCTGTTGATAACATAAATGCTGTCTAGATGATGACAAGTATTAAATGCTGTTTATTTTATTGGAACAATGTATGAAACTACCTACTTCTAGACCCAGATTCCTTTTCTGTATTTCCATACTAGGACCAGGTAAGGGTATTCTGGTCTTCAGGCTCTGGATTCTCACTCCTTTTAGAATTGGTAACATGGAACATAATTTTTACTTTATTTGCTGAAGACAGTATTTTAAAACTTCAGTTCTGAAATAGGTCCAGTTAATGACCAGAGCCTGGAGAAAGCAAGGGAGAAACCACTAAAAGATATAGAAGAAGGGGAAGCTTGGTAGTTTATTATGATAGGACATAAGATATTTTGGTCCAATGTGGGGTGTACATTTTGCTGACTAATTATTTTTTAAAACAAGATTTTTGTTTGTTTATAAAAACTGATATATACTATGGAAATGAATATGATCTTGACCAACTTTTTGTACTAAGAATTGATTTCCTAAGTCTTACTTTTAAATGACAGAGGATTTTTTAGTTGAAGATTTATATTCCCATGCAATTTTAATGTTTTGAATATTTGTAAAGATGTTGCTAAGTTTTAGATTTTTTTAAATATTTATTTATTTTTGAGAGAGACAGAATACAAGCAGGAGAGGGGCACAGAGAGAGAGAGGATACATTATACGAAGCAGGATCCAGGATCTGAGCTGTCAGCACAGATCCTGACACAGGGTTTGAACCCATGAACCATGAGATCATGACCTGAGTAGAAGACAGATGCTTATCCAATTGAGCCACCCAGGTGTCCCAAGATGTTGCTAAGTTTTACAAATTTACTTCAAAGGCATTGGTAAACTCATTATCTACCTTTGATTCTCAAAACCTATTGGTTTGTCCATCTATCTTTTATGAAACTGACTCCCTCATAGTATCTAAAGGTCTTAGTAATTTTTTTAACTTTATTTATTTCTAGAGAGAGAGAGAGAATGAGTGGAGGAGGGGCAGAGAGAGAAGGCGAGAGAGGATCCAAAGTGGCTCTGTGCTGATGGCAGAGAGCTTGATGAGGGACTTGAATCCATAAATTGTGAGATCATAACCTAAGCCAAAGTCGGACGCTTAACCAACTGAGACACCCAGACTCCCCTAAAGGTCTTAGTATTTTAAATTATATCTCAAGGTAATCATACTGTTGAGAAAATGAATTTTCTCTTTATGGACATATTCCATCTAAAAAAAAAGAGATAGGAATGATAGAATTAAATATTAGCATTTTGCAACTCCTTAAAAAAGTTTTTTTTAATGTTTATTTATTTTTGAGAGAGAGAGAGAGACAGAGTGCAAGCAGGGGAGTGCAGAGAGTGATGGGGACACAGAATCTGAAGCAGGGTCCAGGCCCTGAGCCCTCTCAGCACAGAGCCTGACATGGGGCTTGAACTCAAAGACCGCAAGTTCATGACCTGAGCTGAAGTCAGACACCCAACCAATTGAGCCACCCAGGCACTCCAGCATTTTGCAACTCCTAATTACTTAACGGATCAATGTAAAGTTCATCACTGGCTACCATCACACAAAAGAAGAGAGAGAAGACCATTATGTCTCCACCTCTTGGTGGAGCACAACACTGCTATAAAGTAGTCTTGCCTCCTACCCACCCCCAATCAAATGATTCTGATTAAGCAAATAC